ATTACAAATGCTTCCTACAGGATTAGCAGCAAGCAGGTTGGAAGTGCAGCATGTGCAGGATGTAATACTGTTTTACTCTTCCCTGTTAACACATTTCTCTGAACTTGCTGTGAAAAATACTTAAATATAGAATTACAAAAATCTGAAACAATGAAAAGTTAATCTTCGATCATCTCTTTTTATGATGAATAATATTCATATTTTCCCAATAAGGCAATGAATATACTACACACTTGAGATGCTCTATTCAGCGTGTACGGGGAACATAATGTGTGTCAATCTGTAATATTTACATGGTATCAGTGTGCATTCTGGATCCTCAGAAAACAACTTAAAAGAGAAGTAAAGCCAAACCTTGTTTTTGGCTTTACTTTTCTTTTGGGTCACAGGAGTACATTTAATAATGTACTCCTGTGACCCCAAAGTCAGCAGATAGCGGACTAATGGACACAATAAGCTGTGAGTGCAGAGCCGTGCTGCAGCTGGGAAGGACTAAGACAAAATTGTCAGGGTTCACCCGGTTGCCTGAATGACAGATGCCTCTCTAGAACCAGATCCAGCTGTTCCCGCCTCCTCCCCTTTCTGGCCCTCTAATAAGCGCTGGAGGTATGGAGGGGAGGGGGAAATCCCTGCCGGGAGTGGTGACTAACAGAGGCAGAGAGCTGATGGATCAGCATTCACACTATCGCTCAGCTCTTGATCTATAGAGCCGGCGTGTGACAGCTGCAGTGTCACATGTTGGCTCTACATTTTACTCTCCCAATAGTTCTCCTTTAAAACAGATGGAGAAAGAGAATAAACTGTAAATGAATCTTACTGCAGCTTCTAATTATTATTGAAAGGGCACTAAGGCTTACAAAGAAATTAAAGTGACACAAAACTCAGGAACTAAAGCTTAAAAATACATTCAATTTACATAGTTACACAATTAGTCAGGTTGATAAAAGACACAAGTCCATCAAGTTCAACCTAACGATTAGGTACCTTATCTATTAAGCATATTATCTATGTAGCATATTTGTGTATCACTCGGCTGTAGATCCTCAAATCATCTCTGAATTGGTGCTGACACTGTCCTTCCTTCTGGAGGGTGGATACTTTAGTCCCCAATAGTTCCTGTGTATGTTGTAGAGTAGCCACCGCTCCAAGTTCATTCCCATGATGGACTAAAATCTCACATTTAGTTTACTAATTTGTATTAAGGTTGCAGGCTATCATGGGGGTGAGAATGGAGTGGTGGCTACTTCACAACACACACAGGGACCATGGGGAATAAAAGTAGCCAGCCTTCAGAAGGAAGGACAGTGTCAGCACAAATTCAGAGATGATTTGAGCATCTACAGCTGAATGATACCCACATAAGCTACATTTTTGTTAATAGTCAAGGTACTTGAATGCATTTTGAAGGTTTAACTCCTGAGTTTACTATCACTTTAAATTAATTCTTTACTATGTATTTTGATTCTGAAAATGTTAGTTACCTAACTGTCATGCTGCTTCTCTATTATACTTTCTGTATCATGTACCTCAAGCAAGTATGTAAATACTATAAGTTCTGACTTTACTGGCTTCATGCTTATTCTCTTCACTGACACCCAATTTATTAAAACCACAGACAGCCAGGAAACTGACATTATAAGACAGAGACCAGCAATGGCAGCCCTTCTCTCAGCACAGGTTTCCATTATACAGTTTTAGATCATTTGAATATTATCAATGTCAATAAAACTGAGCTTTAGATTCTCCTTAAGTCCTACGAATACAGTCCCTTAAACAATCATTGTTTAGCCTTACCCATCTTATGATGTCATATAATTTAATTGACTTGTTCTGAGCTGGCTGCCTGAATAATATATAGATTAGGCTGAAAAGTCAAGGAAATGTATTCCCTTTCCCCATCTCAAAACACTGCATACAAAAATAAAAAGCAACTGGAGGAAAAAAGTTAAATAACACCCTTACTTTTCTGTCCCTTCATCTGCAGTGCCTATATGAGGATGACATCAGTTTCCTTCAGGCGATATTATGGTGAATGCTGAGTAGGCCATATCACATGAGAAGATGCTACTGCACTGTAGCATCATCTTGCAGGATTTGGGCTACTTGGCATTTACTGAGATATCACTGAGATGATGCTGACATCACCCACTGCATTGGAAGCCGGGGGGAAAGATTAGTATTTTAACTCTTTTTCTCACCATGGGTAGGTTTTTTCTTAGCAATTTAAGATGAAGAAAGAGATCCATACTAAATAGATGGACCTTGCATGGCTTGAAAGAAAAACTCACAAAACCAAAAAGAGATATATGTTTGTCTTGCATTGTTTATCACTTTTTGATATTTCCGGCAGGAGAAATAAGATATAATGGCGGTTTTATGGCCTGGAGTGAGGTAGCTAAGAGCCTTCCTAGTCTTCAAGTGTATTAATTAGCAAATTTCGTACAGTTTATCCTTCTAGTGGCTTCTTCTCTTACTTTGTCAGGAGATTTACAGAGGTCAAAGACATCCACTAATAGATTAATTACAACAATATGTTCCACTTAAAAAATGTTTGTTTCTATGGACCGGTCTTTGTATATGTGCCATAATGGTGAAGTTGTATTTTTACACAGCCATCCCACGTCAATCCAAAATACAGTGGCAGGGAAGGACAGGGCTGGTGGGCATTGGCCCCCCCGATCAATACAAATAAGATATGTTGGGCTGGTGGCCCATTCAAGCCTCAGTCAGAGGACCACACTCACTATTTATTGCAGTGCTCTATGTGTGCCACAGCATTGCTCTCTTCATAGTGTCCAAGGGTGCCTCATGTCTTTCACAATTATTTTTGGTGATTTTGTGGGTGTAGCTACGTATGGGAGCATGTTTTTTTGGGTATGGCTAAAAGTGAGCATGCTCAGTAGGATGTGCCCCAGTTTTATTTTGAAATTCCGGTGTATAAGCTTCAACTTCTTGCATGCTACGAGCGTACTTCATGGTTTTCAGTGCCTTAGCATGCAAGCCACATACAAACAGGAAGCAAAACACATGCAAGTCAGAAGCAAAGCAGATGTTTTCTAAAAAAGCAGCAATAAAAAGCCTTTTTACTCTTTTAGTCCTTCAGTTGCTCTCTGTTTCTATCAATATCTTCCTTTCACAGCTCCTCCAGCTGTCGCTCAATCTTCAAAAGCGGCTGCTCGCAAGATCCTCTCTCACCTCAAGTTGTTGCCTGACAACCCGCTGCCCTCTGAAGTCCAAATGCCTGTTTGCCAATTGTATAGCTGATCATGCTGCAATTCTTTCCTACCCTCTGGTAATCAGGGTTACCAGACATATTTGTGCAATCTACAGTCCCCATGGTACGTGTATTATTCTATATTCTCCTGCCAGCCTGTCTCACACAGAACCCCTGCCATCCACAGATATTACACAAGGACATTTAACAACAGTATAAAAAAAATGATATGAAGATTGTAACTTTTTTGTACTCATAGTGCAGAATTGTATGCATTACTTGCGCAACTGTTTATCAAACCCACATTTTCAGTAAAAAAACAAAACACTCAAATTAACTTAGCTAGTGCATACAAACACAATATATAACCCACTTTTTTAGCAAAGTATAAAAGATGAGGTTGTGCCGAATAAAGCGGACATCCTAGGTATCCGCTAAGCCCAGCATGCATGGCCAGGGAGAGGGTCATATGGGGGCACATTACCACATACGTCAAACTAATTGGGTGGCTGTAAAATCACTTCCGCAAGAAAGTCGACAGCGAGCTGAAGGAGCGTAAGCATTGCTATATACCATAGCTGCTATAGAAACAGGATTATGTTTACAGATCGGTGTAGTACTTACCTCAGTGGCAGTGAAAGGGTTAATCACTAGAGGCAGAGTAGATTACCTACTACAATAGTTATACATTGTTTTATATGAGTCTCAGCATTCACACTGAGAGAAGTGAAGTACCAGTATTGTATACATAGTCCAAAGCATTAAAGTGACCATGTCACCATCCCTTTTTTTTAACAAAAAAAGCACCCGCAAAAAAAGATTATTACTTTCCTCTCCATCAGGTGGTTCCTTCGACCTTGCTTCTGTGATAGAGCTGCAGCCTCTGAATACAGTTTCTACAGCCCTGAAGAATCTTCTGCATCTTACACTTCTGGAAGTGTTGGGTGCCTTGTCCCGCACCTACACTCTTCTACTGGTCCCTGCATCACCACATGACACAATATCGACATAGCAGACATAGCACTCAGCGGGGGGACCATGCACCCAACACAACAAATGTGTGCCAGATGCAGAAGATTCTTCAGTGGCTGTAGTGCTTTAAGAAAGTGAAGACTGGTGGCAACTCCAGGAGAAGCAAGTATCTTCTTTTATCATAGTTTGCTTTTTTTTAAAAATATTTGAATAGAAATTAACAATCTAAAAGCACCCAAGCAGCCGCACATCGGTATAAGGTCACTGCATAAAACCATCTTTATTAGAATTCAACCATGGCACATAGTCCCTGTAATCCACCAAATATCTTTGTCCCCTGTACATATTTCATTAAAACTATTCAAAAAAATTATTTAAAACAGTAACAGACATTGAAGTTTATTTACATCAAACTGACCTCTTTTCTACTATGTATCTTCATAAAAATTTATTGTGATTATATGACAGATGATTTATGTTTTTTTATGGGGTTTTTTAAAAACAAATTAAGACAATCAGGCCTCACACACTAAATATTTAACAGTTTTGGAACGGTTAAGCAATCAATGTCATAAGATTGTCAAGTGCAATAGTTCATCACTTACGTTGACCTAAATGGCCAAAACTGAAATCTCCGCTACAAGTATATGCTGGTCCCCACCAGCAGTGTATATCTCCCTGAACCCCAACAGATACAACTTTCCTATAGACTTCACAGCCCTTCCAACACTCACCATGGAATCTCGCAGCTCTTACTGCATCAGTCGTACTGCTCCTGCAATATCTACATAACATAAACTAAGGAATGCCTTACCGACGATTTCTCGGACCAGCACAAAGTGTTCCAGAGCTTCTGGAGCACTGGATCCAGCTTTGCTGACTGCTGAAACACGAGGTAGAATCTTTTCATTAGTAGTCAAATTGGTAATCTTGTAATGGGTTGAAATGCTAGGTTCCTTGTTCACGGCTACCCAGTCTGAACCTGAAAGGAAATATAAACATATGTTATTAACATGCTTGTTTCAATATAATTTTTATAATCTTATTTCTGTTAGCAAATATAATTTATGTAAATTATTTCAGGTACATTATAAAGATAGGAAACACTTAATTCTTGTGACAGCAAAGTATGTAGCCAAGAAAAAGGCAAAACAGATGTTAGTAAAACTAATCAATATATTGTATTTTGTAGATATAAAGGCAATATTATTATTAAGAGACTATGTTGTCTTAGATTATTATGTTGTAATTGAACAACTGCTTTGTTGTCATAAAAGAATGCAAAAGATAACAAAATTAATTTAAAAAAATATAGATAAGAGTAGATAGAATTATTATATTAATATTATAGTAACTGGGTATATCACTAATTACATCATAGCTAATTATCTGAGCATAATTAATCTGAGAACACCAAGCACATTCTGATATTTTCTGGTAAGTAAAGGGTTGGGGATTAGCTTTAAGATTAGGGTTCCTCTTTTTCTCCATGTTATACATGATGTTCTCACCTATCGAGGGGGCATTTTCTGGCACACAAACGGGTCCAAAATTGTTCAAAGGAGCATCCCTAACAGGAGCACATTGCACCACTAAAAAACACCATACACTAGTTTCAAGTACAATGGTTTAATATCGTAAATATCAATGCGGTAATAAATACTGCACTCTGGAGAGATTAGGTATTGTCCTCCATTATTTCTTCTAACTTTATTGTTATAAGCACAGCCAAATGTGTCTAGTATCACAGCTTTAGTGACTGAATGAAGTAACTGGGATTGTGGTTGCATCTAAATGACCAGACCAGTCTCAGTATGAGTAACAAACAAACGTGGGAAATTCAATGAAGTACAGTATGTACAACACATTTTCCCTTTAAAACAACCCGCATCTAATGCATGATAACCTTGCAACTGTTTTGGTTGCAGTTCCTGCAGGTAGTTCCTATTACTGCTACTTTAAGAATCTTACAATATGGATGCAAAAGATTCAAAAAGAATTACCACCAGTTTACAGATTAAGAAACTGTAGGTAATTAAGTCCAAATCTGAGAGACACCAGTGCTTAGAGTGCGGTATGTATGTTCTGGGAAGCTGTCACATTCATGACAGCTTCTGCGCACACACATGCCCCAGTCCGAGCACTGAAGCCTCTGTATGTCAGGCCAGATTTGGTCTTAATTACTGCCAGCTACAGAGCCCACACCATCCTTAACATCCAATAATGGTGGCAGGTGGCAGCAAAGCCGTAGCTAGCTTCCTGACATTTACCCTTTGAAATAGAAAAAGAAACTGGAGACACAGAGTCCTCAATCTCTTTTTCTGTGGCCTCAGCCCTGTATGAATAGAAAGCACTCAGTACAGTGGCTTCCCATTCATTCACAAACTGTTGATAGTAAATATGTACTATCAACCAGTTATGAATGGCTAGAATCCTCTGTACTGAGTGCTTCTACCCATTCAGAAACTCATGAATGAACAGGAAGTGATGTAAAGCACTTCCTGTTCATTCATAACTGGGGACACATAGTAATATGTGTCCCCAGTTGTTTCATTGGAGTCACAGATATTTATCTATCCTCCGCTCTCCATCCTGAGACGCTTTGCCACACACAGAGCCGCAAAGGAGAAATTGAGCACTGGAGCCGTGGATGGGGGGCGTGGAGGAGGGACCTATCATGCAGGATGGCTGAGCGGTGAGGAGAGAGAACTGTCGGCTGTCAGATCATCATCCTGACAAGTGGCTGCATCTTTCAGCAGGAGTCCACATGTAATCATACCTGGAAGAATTACATGTGGTTTGGGATGGTTGATTGTCCCTGGACGCATGACAGATGTAATATAGTAATCATAGTGTCTCCATCTGGGGAATTTGGTCTGCCATGCCATATTTCCTTTATCAGCAAGATATTCCTCATTGGTTAATGGGACTGCTTTTAAGACAAACAGACTTTACTAAAGGTTACTATACCCTGTTGACTACATATAACCTGATGTCTACATTTTATTATCTTGTTTATACATTATATTATACATTTAAATAGTGAAATGTGGATGTAGCATACAAGTTTGAAACCATTGCATATCAACCCTTCTACTTCCCCCAAGCCCTCAATCCCTACACCTCTCTTGTGTTCCAACCCATACCCTTCTGTCCTTAAATCATTCTTCATTCCCAAATCTGTTATTTTGTGATGTTATGTAACTGAATTTGAATAAAGAAAATATTGACATAATATTGTAATGATAAAAAAAGTTTTAAAAGAGAACTATGGGGGTAAGTGTTTTTCCCCATAGTTCTCTTCAGGGTCACGGGAGGACATATACTAACCTCCTCCCATGACTCAAAGCTCAGTATATCGCGGGCTATTAATAAAAATACAAAAAAATGTAGTAAGCGCACTACTGGGGATGTGAATTAATATAGGTAATGGTGTAAGGTGTGCGGTCTCCTGAACAGGAAGAGGAGCCCTGTATACCAATAGAACAAGTAAAAACACAAAGTAGGAGCGCTACTACCAAAAATTAAAAGTGGTTTTTGGTTGGATGTAGTTCATAATACCATATATGAAAGAAGTAGAGGTGAACTCACTGTTGGACAGAGTTAGTGATCCTTGACAGCATTGGTTAAACTGTGGACAGAATCCCTGCGTGATTGTGAGGCTGGAATAATGGAAGAAGGCTGGTAGATCATGAAGCCTCTGGCTGTATTGTGTGTGGGCGGCTGTGGCTCGGATTTAGCAATTCCGCAGATGTGGATGGTGGTGCGCTGCCTCAGCTGGCCAGGCTGAGCCGCGGCGGCAGTGTGGGAAGAAGTCAATGCAGCCGCTCTGTTGCAGATGTTGAGCTGCCGCAGTCAGCGGAATGTGGTGAGACTTCGTGGGGGAGAAGGTTGAGTATAATCACGGCTGCAAGGTGTTCCTTCTCGTGGGATACAATCATTTGTACGGGCTACGCGTTCCAAGGGTCTGCCTCTTTGTCAAGCCTTTCTGGCTTTTACTCACCATCTCCCCCACAAAGTCTCACCTCATTCCGCTGACTGCGGCAGCTCAACATCTGCAACAGAGCGGCGGCATTGACTTCTTCCCGCACAGCGGCCGTCGCTCAGCCTGGCCAGCTGGGCCCGCACACCACCATCCACATCTGCGGAATTGCTCAATCCGAGCCATAGATATAAGTAAAATAGCCATTGCTGGCTATTTTACTTATATCTAGAGGCAGAGCCATCTGTGCCCACCCCCATCCAACGTTCATTCGCCTACTCAACGCTGGAGGATTGGAGAGGGGAGGGGGGAACCCCTGTGGGGAGTGGTGACTCAGAGTGGTCACCAGTCACTGCTCACTGCAGGGAGACGATCGGGAAGTGAGCGGATCGGTGCATGTTTCTGCTCACTTCCCGATCATTAGAACTGACCTGTGACAGCTTGTCACAGGTCGGCTATAATGATGAGGATGAGTGGAAATCACTCACCTCATAGTTCTCCTTTAAGCAAAGTTCTGTTAAAATTTTATTGGTGAGTAGATATAAATAAAGGGTGCAGGGAGTGTTAATCTCAAAGCAAAAGAGGAACATATATATTTTGTATGTTTATTCCATTATTCAGATATCATATATCAAATAATTTCTTATAGATGTTTAGGAAAGTCAATTATTAACGTACTTCCTTCTTTTTGGTACTCAAGCAGATAGCCATCAATGATATAGGTGCCTTCTTTCTCAGGAGCTTTCCATCTCAAGGATAGAGAGGTATCATCAACAGCATCCACTGAAAGACTTTCTGGGCTGTTGGGTGGTTCTAAAACAAATAAACAAGAGTTGATGACTATGTATCCGTGCATTAAAAAAAATACATACAGAAGAGCATTTATTATAGAACACATTTTAGTATCATATTACTATCAATTATATTTACTGTATATGTCGATGTATTGCCTTATGCAGGGAAGGCATAGTACTGTTGTGGCACTGAATGAAGCTACACACAGTGTAGACAATTAATATCATCTACACTTTTTTCAAATTGTCTGTCCATTGTGGGAGGATTATGGGAACAACTGACAGCACAGGCCTACCACAACATCCCTTTTCTTGGTGACACGCACAAGTTCCTCCTGAAAGCTTATCCAGACTAACTGCTATATAATCCCTCCAGAATGTTCTTTCTCACCCATGGCCTCTTTCCATATTGACATGCCTGGAATTTCTCAAGTAGGGGTCCTACAAGGGGAATCTGAAATAGGACCTGTACACACTATCTGCATTAAGTAAAAGGGGCTTTCACTACATCCACTGGCTTTAATACCATCTAAGCTTCACTAATATCTTCTTCAAGCACATCTAGCTGCATTAACTGGTAGTCATGCATTAGGGAATACATAGCAGATTCTGAATGCAATGTCCTGAATTCATCAGCTGGCTGTGTTCAAGGTAGACAGTAATAATGTTTATTCTGCAGTGAACATGGCTAGTGGCTGAAATGCAGCAAGTAAATCCCTCCACTTCCACCCCAAGAATGACTTCAGCTTGTTGCCAACAGCAAGTATGTATTTATTATTGGTATTTACATAGCACCAACAATGTTTGCACGTGCTTTACAATCTATGGTCCCTGTCTCACATGTATGCATACAAGGGCTAATTTACACAGGAGCCAAATAACCTACCAGCATCTCTTTGGAGTGTGCAAGGGACACCAGAATACCTGGAGGAAACCCACACAAGCACAGGGAGAACATGCAAACTCCTTGTAGATAGTGACCTGGCCAGGATTTAAAACAGTATGCCATATAAAAGCCTTGTATGTCCTTTAAAAACTGCAAAACATACTTAGTTAGGCAAAAGTGATTTATTATCATGTTACTATGGGAATGTACACAAGAGGAAGCTAAATAAATCCCACCAGTTGCCTTATTAAAAAGTTTTTGTGGCGCTTTATTACATACAATTTTTTTAAAATTTTTAATAGGAAAACTGGTGGGATTTCTTTAGCATCCCTTTTGTGTATATTTTCATAGTATGTATTATAAGCTGTAGTAATTTAGCAAGAGCTCAAGCAGGGATCCGGAGGTACAATTTGTATTCTTTTGTTATTATCAAGTTAACGGAAGCATACTGACACTGCTAAATTTGGTCTGGCATCTTGGCTATAATGATCTCTTGTCATGAACAAGTGAAAAGGAAAGACCAGCTTTTCTCCAGTTGATAAAAGTGATACATTCTTACGAAATTTTACAGGAAATGTTTTAAGATCCATTTCTTTAGTATTAAATGCTGAAAGTTGGAATTATTATTATATAAAAATAATGATCAAATTCTGAAATTAGGTATATGTATTCCTCAGCAGACATAATATGATCATATTTGGCCCACTACTTTATCAGAGTTTGTCCTGCATGATTTAAACAAATATTTACAACATCTGCTAAGCTGCCATCTATGACAAGTCAGTTTACCATTCCTACATTCACTCTGTACATCACTTGTTAATACGATACTAATGTGCCCGCATCCTTTCACAGGACAAAGGCATATATATGTAAATAATACACACAGCAAACTGAGTCAACTAGTATGTAGCTATATATCTATAGTATAATCAAATATATTTTCAAGGTAGGGCCTACAGTAGACAGTAAACCTAACAGATGCATTTTTTTATCGACATCTAAAATTAAACCTTTGATTAAAATTCACATTTCATAAAAATCAATAGAGCACGTCAGTAAAAAAAATACGCCTTGTCATAAAATGCTTTTTCTAATTTATGTCCTGAGTTACTTTATGTGATCCAAAGCCTAGGCTATAAAGCACCAGATCAATCTTAGGTAGTTATGAGGTTGTGTTTAGTGCAAACTTAGATCACCGGAGTTTGGTCAAACCAAATCAAAACTCTGACCACCACCTACTCCTCCTGACCCAATCAGTTGCAGGCAGGCACATTCCGCACCCTGCAGCTATTCAACACAAAAGGGTGGGATACGTCCCTGCAACAACTTCCGCCACAGATTGTGTCGGGAGTGAATGTCAGAGTTTTGAGCGGGCTTGGCCGAATCCAGCCAAACTGAGTTCGCACCCAGCCTTGCTTCATTAATAATCTCTGGCTACATGAAACATTGTGAGTACTTCAAGTCATAACAAGCCCTGCATTAAATATAACTTTTCTGGTAGACTTGAGGGAGGTCAGAGAATTTACAATGCCCAACTAGCAGATGGGGCTAGAAATGTAATGAGCAAATATGGCTGTTATCACATATATTAGTACAAGCTGAACATGGAAATATGGACTTTAAAACAACACAGATGAATAAGATTGTTTGCATTAACCTCATTACTTCAACATCAAAAATACTATATCTAATTATTTTAACATTAAAAAGATATTTAAAAGGCTGTACTGAACCAAATGGCTCTGCACACACTAATGTGTTTGTTGGGCATAATGTTGTGCCATACTGGTGCAAGGAGTGCATGGAAGGTTTAAGCCTTACTATGATTTCATTTATATGATTCCCACTAGAGCTCCTTCACCTCTATCCACATGGGGAACAATAGCAGCACAGTCCAAATACTGGCTGAATTAACATAGCAGCTTGAGGCATTTCGCATCCGCTGCTCATTTGGACGTAGACTAGAGGTACTGTGCAATGTGAAATCTTAGTAACCTTCATTACAGGCATACTTCTGGGTGAAAAGTATTTGCACAGCTGAAACAAAACTGTTAGGCAGCGGTTTTATGTGACCTCTCACCTCTAGTGCATACTCTGCATTGTTACATTAGCTTTTCACATTGTACTAAGCATTCAGTGGAAATTGAATAATTAAACTATTATGTATATACAGCATATATACACTGTTTTTATCTTTGCTGCTCCATAGTCCTCCCATATTAGTCCATCAACATGTTTTTATTTGTTATTGTGATTTTACTTTTACAATATCAATCAAACTGAATTAGGCAAGAAAAAATGCAAGAGAGAGCTACCAATGCAGAGAAAATCTTTAAAAAATGATCAG